ACAATTTCACATCAATATGAAGAGTTTAAACAGATAACCAAGTGCCTAACAATGACAGAAACCCATTTTTGGAGTTGTTTCCTTTTTTTTTTTTTCCCTTTCTTTTTTAAAGACTATTAATCTACACAAAGTAATCAGTGCCCACAATCATCAGTTTAATGAAATGCACTCTGGTTTAGAGTAGGAAAAGACTGACCTTTTAAAGACAATTAGATGCCATCACCTTTTCTTTGCTCCGTTAACAGCAACAAGCCCAAGCCCACATTCTCTTCTTCTCACAGTTAACAACTGTGAAAAATGGGGCTCTGGCAAAAATCACCTGAAGCCAAACTTGAGCACTGCCAGGAAAAGTGAAAATATCTGAACTAGAAATTAGTCCACTCGATACCTTGCAAACAAAGAGCAACAGCAGTATGACACCGATAAGGCATTAATGACAAAATGGCTGTATTATTCTCGAAAAAAGAGTACACCTATGTATAAAAATATATGTCATAGCAATTGGGTAAATCCAACACTATTTAACACTGTGCCAAAAGTAATTAAGAGTTAAAAAGGCAGTTCTGCAAGAAGTATTTACAGTTTCATACTGTACTTCAAAAGAAAAGAAAAGGCAACAAAGCTACAAATGGAACTATCTGGTTAAAGCATCACTGTAGGTACTGCCAGTAGCATTTGTACAAGTAATGTGATGGAGTCTTGTATTGTTTGACTGAATAGATGCATATAAATATTTTAGTAGCTAAAACTGTCTCAGTCTCCATGTCTGCTCCATGAAATAACTCACCCAGATCATCACTATTTGCAGTTTCTCGCTCTATTAGTTTAAAATCCAAAAGATTCAGTTTCAAGAAACACTGTGTTTGCAACAGTTCGATCAGAAATCACAGCTTTATTTCCAGCTTATAAAAAACCAACCCCACAAAAGAAATTAGAAATCCACCACCTATGAAATTCTGGAAATTACAAGCTGAAGTGCCAACAAAGCTACACTGACAGCACGTAATAAAAACACTGGCATTCCCAATGCACCTTATAACTGCAGCTATAGGATAAGTTAAGTTGCTTTAGTAACCAAACACAAGATACAGCACAGCCAAGGCGACACAGCTCTGTCAGCCACAAGACCTGGGGTGGTTTTTTGGGAGCATCAGGCACGGGCACGGTGGGGCCAGGGCAGCACCGGCAAAGCCTCACCTGCAGCTCTGCTTGCTCAAAGCACAAAGTTGCCAAACTCCCTCCTTAATTAATTGCTCCCTCCTTGCTGGCCCGGGAATGGCAGCCCAACACTTCCCACCCGGGCTAGGGGGGAGATGGGATGGCCAGGAATGGCAGAGGAGCAGGACAAGGGTGGAAATGCCAAGAATTGCCAGGGAAAACCCAAACCAAGCTGGGCACCATCCACACTGCCCCTAACAGTGCAGCCATCACCTTTCCCAGCCGAAAGGCAGGAGGAGCCCACAAGGTGAGAAGCTGTCCATGCTCTGATCCCTCAGGCGTACTGACTTCAAAAAAACAACAAGAAAAAGAGAGATGCTTAAATTTCTTCTAACAGTGCACTCTGAACTGCACAACCAAAATCTGTACACGGGAAGCCTTCTCCAGTAGTATAAAACCCATGACACACTGAGGAAGTTATCATTGCTGATGTCAGGAGAAAGAAAATTACTTTAAAAACCTTATTTAAAAATTGAATTCAGGAAGTAAAATAAACTATAAATATACTTCAAGCAGTTTTTTGGGTAAAATAAAACACAGGAACAGCACTTTTTCACTGAATTCATTATTCACTTCATGGAAAAATTTATAAAAATTTCAGAAGAACTGACATTTATCACGTCAAGCATCTCCTGTGCAGAGACACAAACTGCTCAGCTACTGCTCCCTCCCTCGTAAGCAGCAGTTTCAGAACCCTGCACAGCCACTGAGCACCTCACTCACTGGTGCAGCATCCAGGCACCTCTTAGAGACACCAGTGAACTTTACTCTGAGGCAGCAAAGCTTTGCCTCTCCAATTCCATGAGCAGTCATTTATTTGAGCAGCATGAGGGGAAAGGGAGATGGCTCCAAGAGAATAAACATCCATGTATTTAAAAGAACAGTGCGTAAGCACATGGCTTGCTCACCTAAGATGGCATTTTCCTCATCTCTGGGGAAGGAGAGATTGGAAGATTTTTGTTTGTTCTCAAGTGTGATTTGGTGAGGCAAGTGCAGACCAGGAGATCTGAGGCCTCTCCAGTACCTCATCTAGAGATATACAAAACTGTCCTAAAAAAAGACTCCCTAGCCCCACTTGCACATAGGGTAAGAGATTGGTCCCAGGTTTAATGAAAGGAATGGTAAGAAGGACTCTTCCTGCCTACTGAACATGACATGCTGCTCTGGGAGAAGGCTGGGACAGTGTCCATGGGCACAGCCCCATCTGTGCCAGCCATGTCCCAGCTGGGCCATGCTCACCTGAAACCTGCATGGCCAGGGGGGCTGTGGGGCAGGGCCTGCCTGCTCTCCAGGATGTTATCCCAAAAATATGGACTGTGCTGATGTGCTCTGTGTCCCCACTCAGAGACACCCTAGAATCTGACAGGGGCTATGAGAGGGCAGAGTTAATCCTGTGAAGTTCAAGAATTGCTGCACATACTGAGATCTTCTGGATGGGGGCTGTGCCCTGGGGCTGCACTTTCAAGGTCCCTGAATGTTCAAAAGCTGAGGGAAGCTGCCCCTTCCTCCTCTGCAGAGGCTGCCTATCCACCCAACCTCCAAGGTTATGAACAACCTGCACACAGGAACTTGGGGCTTTGTGAGTGACTCTTTCTCCTCCCATCCCAGAAGAAATGACCAGGATAAAATCCTTACAATGCAACCTCTGTAACTCATCATGCACATGAAATACTGAACAAAAAGATTCCTACCACATCTCTGATGAAGACACATGGGTGGTGACTTGCCCAAGAGGAAGGTGATTAACTTACCTCTCTGGAAAAGCACACGGCATTCAGAGCAGTCAAGAGTCCTCAACAAACTTGGTAAGCTGAAAATCCCATATTGAACGGAACAGGGTTAACAGGGTTTAACAGAAGCATTTGCTTGGGAATCCAAGCAAAAATTCAAGTTATCACTGTGTATGCAGTGGACAATAGCCCAATCAATATCTATTACCAACCCACTCTAAAAAATCATACACTACAAAACCATCTCACTGCTTGCAGCAAATGAGCTTGAATGATTTCCTAGTAACAGGCCACCACCTTGCACTGTTAAAATGTGAGGTTTCACAGTATAAAAAAGTACTTCACAGAAAGGAAATGCAGCTAATATAGAAAATGCAATCTCGATGTGTTTACAGTCATTTTTTAAGAGGCAATATTTTTGGGAAAGCAAGAACAATAATAATTAAAGCAGCCAGTGAGAAATGTACAAAGTTATAGGCCTCAATTCAGTGCAAAACCAGACTAATAGCTTATGTAAGTAAATGTTTGTTCTGAATAGAGAACCACCTGAATTAAAAATAAGAACACCTATGTGAAGTGATGGAGACTCTCACGATATTCAAATCCTTCACATACATCATCAACCTTTTCAGTACACTCCAGAATGGACCCTTTGTAAAGGCAAAAGAAACCAGTACAGAAAATCACTTCATACAGCACAAGATATACATAAAGTACCAAAATGTACACACATTCAAGTTTAAGTTAGAAAAGGCAGAGCTGAATCTTCTGGTGAGAGAGGCCTACATTATGTTGCTTAATCTCAACATTTAAAGTGACCTAAAACCTACAAGAATCAAAGAAAACAGAATATTGTGTCTGCTTTCAGAAACTTAAGCTTAAAGCAAGGCATCAAAATTGAGCGGTAGGCACTAGACATGACCTTACCTTTTCTCTGTTAGTCTTTGTTACTTTGTTATCTATTGAAAAATTACCATTCAAAGGAAATATTATGCATCATTCACATTCAAATATTTGAGACTCAGAGATTTTTCTTTAAAAACAAGCAAAATTTTTATCTCTGAGGTAGATGACAATAAAATAAAAAAAAATAACAATGGAGCTGTCAATGAACACTAACAAGTGCTGGAGCTCCTCTGTTGGCACTGACACACCCCAAGGAGGAGAGAGCAAGCCCCACACCACTATCTGAAATGTGAGAAATGTGTCTTCTGGTTTAGTAGCTTCTACAGAAATGCAACACAGAAAAAGCAGCGCCAAAATTACACTGAAATGGCCTTGGAGAAGAAGAACTTCCATTTCTGCTTCGCAAGCTACTCAGAAAAAGGTGGAAACATGCCCAGGTCAGCAAAATCTTCAATGTTGTAATTGCCAGTGCCCTGCGTTGGATCCCCCGGCATCGGCAGCATGTCCTGCACAATAAGGAAAAATCAGAGTGAAGTCTCACTTGCCAACACATTATCCAGACTCAAACTGCTTCCTGCTCATCTTCTCAGTGTAAAACCAGGAAAGGCCAAGTTTAGATAAATAAGGTGAAAACCAGACCTGTGCAGAGGGCTGGACTAAGGTTTATGTGCTACCTATATTTTGCTAGAGTGTTTCTGAACAAGAGGTGGGACAGAGCAGAAGTTTTGGCTTGCTCCTCTGAAATAAAACACACTTGAGCTGCCTCCTACTCCTCCCAGACTGAAACAGCTCCCCTTGGAATGGGAGCTACATATGGAGAGAAGCAAACTCTGGTTTCACTGCATGGGGAGTATACAACATCTGACACACTGGAGCTCCAGCTGTGTCAGGATGGGTTGGGGCAAGGTCTCACTTCCTCACCCAGCACTGCTCTGTGGAACACTCAAGACTGGACATCCACCCCAGCTACCAAGGTGCCAAAGCAGCCTTCATGATTGTACAGAGGAAATAGCAAGAATTTCTCAGGAGAATGGGATTTTGTGGTAATTGCTCTCACGTGTCTTGAGCCAAGTGAGGTCTCTGCAGGAGGCTTCAAAAAACACTCAACCTTTCCTCTCAGCTGGAGACTGAAGCCACAGGGAAAAGATATCCCTTGCTGGGAAAACCAGAGTTTACGCTTGCTTTTCCTGTTAGTTCTTACAATAATAAGCTCTTACCACAAACCCAAGTCTTGCCAGGGATGGCTCATTATCCTCACAATAAAACAAAACCAAAAAAACAAATAAGAAAGCTCACAGGATCAGCTCTGTGAAAGAACTGAGAGCTGCTGCATACTGGGCAGTTCCTCCAAAATAAAGACTGACTAAAATCCATCTGAAATCTTCACAGCATCCTTGTCAGTGTGGTGAGAACACAACTGGCAGTGTCTGAGCTGCCAGGGTCCGCCTTCATTTTCTGACCTAAACTTGGACTTATCTGCTGCTTTCCCACATTCTCTCCCAGCCAAAGGGAAGCTGTAGCTGCCCTCTCCTGTCTACATTTCCATCCCTGAATGCATTTCTGCTGCTGGGGCCTTTGTGGCAAAGTCTCCTCAGGCACAGATCCAGCAAGGTCTCCTCTTGAGTATGCTCTCTCCTTAAGCCCAGCTAACCCACGGCTGACTTTGGGCACAATCCAAGCAACTTCTTGGAGGCCTTTAAATTCATCCAAGTTTTTCATCCCATCCAGCTATTATCCTAATTCCCTCCAAATGCATGCCTCCAAGAGCTCTGCAGATGAGCCCAGCCCTCCTTTTAACCCATGGTCCTCCTCTCCACTAACTTCATGAGAATTTTGTTAAGAAACAAGCAAGACACTGCTTGGAGCTCCATGTCTCTGCTGGCCACCAAACCATGCTGTCATCAGCTCCACTGGAATTGCCCTGAATATCCTCTTGGATAGCAATTAACCTTTGCTAACACGAAGAGATGCAACAGACCAAGCTTGGCTGGGCTGTGGGCTAAGAGCACGCAGACAGGCAGTAGTTATTCCAGATGAAGTGCTGCTGTTTGAGCTTGTGTGAAAGCAATGGTTCATCCACACAGCAATATTCCCATGCTCACAGCTCTTCTGCAGTGTTCTTGTGAGCAGCTGCACACCAGCCCAGTCTTGCAGGTGAATTTACTTCCAAAAGACAAGCAGACGCCCCACTTCTAAACCTTGCTTGGGGCTTGAACTGTCTGTCCTGCGTTTATCTGCATTGCTTCCTTCTAAACTGTCTTCTTCCTCTAATTTAAAAACCAGTTATACAAGGACAGATATGTTATTAGTCAACTTATGAAGTCCCACTCTACAGTAGGACTTTGCTATCTGTTGTCAAGACTCAGAATTAGAGTTAATTACGTAGTTGAAGATGATTGTTTACCACCTTATCTGGTACCTGACTGGGTTTAACCTTAAAAAAATTATTGTCCACTATCTTCTATGCAGTATCAGACTCCTTTCCTGCTTGAACTGTCAAAGAGAATGACATTGATATCTAATGGAACTTGAGATGTCAGAGGCCAGCACCAGGATAAGAAAGACACTCTGCTTGGGAATACTTCATGGGTTCTCTGCAAAAGATGAAAGCCCGAACTATAAGGTGCAAAGAGATGGGAAAACAGCATTCTACATCAGCAAAGATGCTGTTGTGTGGCAGAAACCCAAACCACCCCAGTAGCTAAGGGCAGCTAAGAGCAGTGCAGGTCTATGGCAGCATGCTGCAGCAGAGAACTGCTCCAGACCCTGCTGCACCCTGATCCTCAATGGCTCTCACTCAGAACTGAGGGGTCATCAGAGGGACTCTGGGCTCTCTGAGCTCTCCTCACCTGGAACACCTCGGTCTGGTTGGGCTGTGGGTGTGAGTGCTGGTCACCACTCTGCTGGTTGTGGTGTTGGCTCTGCCACTGTGACCACACTTCAGAAGGTCTCCCCTGGAACTGCCCACTGCTCTGGCCACCTTCAGCTGCATGGGGGAAGAAAAGGCACAAGTCAGAGAGAAGTTCCTCCAAAACATCTGCCTGCTTTGGGCAGCATCCATCAGTGTCTGGATTTGCAAAGGAGCCTTGGAGAAAGGCCCTGAGTGACACCAGCCCTGGGAGGAGAAAGCTGGAGGGAGTTTCAGCCCCAGAGCAAAGCTCAGGGCCACGGCTGCACAGCCATGAACTGCCCAGAGCAAAATGCACAGGAACACAGTCAGCCAGGCACTGCAAAACCATCTTCAAGCATTCCCCCATCATTTTTTAATCAATAATAAGGATCATTTTGCATTTCACTTAAAAACCAAACTTCACCATCTGAATGCTGCTTCTCCTCAAAACACTGAATTCTTGCAGAGCAGTGGATGCAGTTTGGTACTCATCTAAGAAGCATGTAAGGAGGTCCAGGACTTTTTTAAGATGCAGAAACAGTATGATCAACAGACAACAGCCTTGCTAATTAAATACAGGCATTGCTGGACTGTCGTGTCCTCCAGTGATACATCTGCAAAGTGATTAATTTAATATGCAGTTCATAGCAAATTATTATCCTGTCAATATGGTGATACTTTCCTAAAAGTCTCAGGCCATTTACATTTGACAGAGTAACATGAATAGCAGGGCTTTATTGTAAATACACTTCAAATGATGATTTCAAGGAAATTAATTTCTTCCAAATGGTCTACCAGGAAAAAAACATGTTGCCACACATTAATTTGGTTACCTATTACACATACATTTTTCATGAGTACAGTAACAGATTACACTTAAGCTGGACTCATCTTACCCTGTATTTCTACAGACTGCCACTGAATTAAAATATTTTTGGATAATTTCCCATTCATTAGTTATAGTATGTCTTTCTAAAAATTAGCATTTTAGAAAGCTTGCCACCAGGCATATGCTTTTCCTCCAAACATTTCTACCTCTTTTTTCTTGTTAACGTTTTTCTCTGTAACTGCTCCAGTTATTTTTGCCTGTTTCCCTCTCACAGCAGAGGATCAAGCTGTACATGTCTGGTTCTTCATGATCACCAGCACCCTCTGCCAAGGGTGCCAAATTTCCTGTGCCAAACTTCCACACCTGTGCTATGCCAAGTCTTTGATAGCCAGACTCAATCATGTCAAATCAGCCACTACTCACAGCCATGACTTCAGAAAATACAGACACACATATTTAACCCAATCCCTTTGGCTACCAGCTAAGCCATGCAAAACAGATAAAGGGAAGGTTTTACAGGGAAGTAAACAGGCTGCAGTGATGCATTTCTATCACATCTGAAGTAGAAGATTACAGTCCTTCCCTTACTGACATTACCACAACCAGTAATTCAGCTGACTCAAAAACCCTGCAGACATTTTACGAGCCAAAATAAAATTCATCTACGTTACCCTTTAAAAGCAAGCTACAAGTTTGTTTTGTTTTTTTTTCCCCTTCAGAACAACACATTGAAATTAACTGAGTGAAGCAAATGATGCTTCTTTTCAGCAGAACAGCTCCTGCCAGCCGGCGGTCGAAGCCGCTGCTCTCCGTGAAGGCTGGGTTATTAATAGCACCCAAACTGATGTAGGTCAGGAGATGTTTCTCATTAACTGAAAGGGTTCTTGCCAAGTAGCTTAAGCCTGAAATACAATGCCTGGTGGAAATGGAAATGGAGGGAGGAATAAGCTGTGTGGGCAGAGCTCCATCCCAATGCCCTTCTTCTAGGTCTGTGCCCGTGGGGCCCCGTCTGCAACAGGTCTGTGCCAGATCTGCTCCCCAGGGACAGGAGCAAACAACACACACTGCCACGCTGCTACCTGTGCCTTTTGGGATTGCACTTTATTATCACACAGTGACATTTCTCATGGAATCCATCATATTTTTCACTCTTGAATATTATTCTTCTGGTGGAGTGCAGAAAACTTAGCAAGGGGTTACTTACTGGGTCATAGTCTGAAAACCAACAAATTAGCATGTAATTGGAAAATAAAACCATTTCAAAACATGGCACTTGCTCTGATCAGGTTAGTAGCACTGGAGGTACAAAATAAATCTTGCTTTCAGACAAACACCAACATGCAATCTCAGTGCAGAACACCATGAAGAAGAAGATAAAAAATGAAAAAACCTGCAAACTTGTGCCTTTTAAGTATACCTAGTTCTGAAGAGTTTCATTTCTATGTGCCTTTCTGTGTTGCACCATTTAAAACTCACCAAAGCCTGCACTTCGGTTTGCTAGGCTGGAGTAGGCATTCCCACTTGGAGAAGAGGTGGCTGGGCTGGACAGGGGGCTGTAGGATGAGGGATCAGCTGGGTAGGTGTGACTTGTTCCAATGCCAAAGGGAGATGACTGAGCCTTCCCAGACTGAGATGGAATTTGCTGAGGAATAAAGCAGAAGGAAAAGGTTTTATTGTTGGGGAACAGCACAGCAGAATCACTTTTTCCAACATGAAGCAAAGACTAAATAAACTCTGTGGATGCCAACAGGCACGTTTCTCCTGTCTCAGCTGTATTTCATTTCTGTCCAAGCCAGCTTAGTGCTGCAGAAGGAATACAACTGACTATAAACCAACACTTACAGCTCTCCTGCTGATTAGCTCACGTGTACTCTGTATAAGAGCTATTTGGAAAACCAGGATTTCTTTCACCAATATTATGAGGATTAATCTCAAACTCAACATGAAGAATTAATCTTTATTTTCCAGGTGTATTGATTTTGCAGTGCCACAGTAAAATCAGTTATCTGAATGTCTTGCAGGACACATACAGGTCTCAGATGATCAGAGCCTCCAAGTACTTGTGACTTAATGGCCAAAAAAGTTTCAAAGCTTATGAGTTGCTTTCTCTCCCTGCCTATGAAATACAGGCAGCAGTTACTTTGCCTTTTAAAAGGCTTGGAAGGGTGAATCACCAAGTTCTGGGCAGAAGGGAAGAAACAGTCTAACAATGCTTTAATTGGGCAGCTGAGTGAATTCAAAAGCACTAAAATCCAGTTTGCTGTTATTTCACCTACAGAATGGTCCTGTCACAGGTTCTCCCAGAATGTTACACAAATGACTGAACACTGCAGAGGCTGCTTTGAGACAGGTACAGCTGGTACACTGAGACTGAAGGGAGTGAAGTGTTCCATCCAAAGCCACGTGCTAATGTATGGTGCACAGACAGAATCTGATTATAAACCGTTTCCCACATAATGAGTAAGTCCAGCAGTCCCAAGAAAAAGTCACTGCCTAACCAACCCCACAAACAGAAATTGAAGGCATTACATCTCTGGATACCTGCAATGATGTGCACTGTTACTGGCAATCAATGCATGCAAAGGAAGTGGTTCTTCCCTGGGAGACAGGGAGCAAAATGAAGCCCCTTCAATCCAAGGGGAAAAGGTCAAAGACCTGCTACATCACTCACACACACAGGTCCATGGGCTGGGCAGGATCCACCCAAGGGCACTGAGGTAGCTGGCAGAAGTGCTCACTGAACCACTTCCCATAATTTCTCAGCAGGAAAACTTCCCTCACCAAATGGGTTGTCAAGAACAGGAAAGAGGCTTCCCAAGGAAGAGATTGAGTCACCATTCCTGAAGTGTTTAAAAGATGTGTAGATGTGGCACCTGGGGATGTGAGTTAGTGGTGAAATTGGCAGCAGTGGGTTAATGGTTGGACTTTGTGACCATAAAGGTCTTTTCCAAACTTAATGATTCTATGATTTTTGGGTAAATGCAGGGGAACAGGGGGAGTAAAACAGATCCCATCAGGCATATAACATGTGGAAGATGCTATTAAGTCTTCAGTTCAATTCCAAGCTAAAAAATTGTACATTTTGGTTTCCACAGCGGCAGTGGGAGCTCAGCATGTCACTTCTGCAAGGCTTAGCTCCATTTTACTTTATTTAAGATGGAAGAATTAATTCCAATTTCCTTACACTCACATACCAACTTGGTTGACTTGGACAGAACTTGTGCAGTAAGAGGAATGAGTAATTTGTTTTAGTCATTTTCAGCACCTTCCACATCATTTGAAGAAATGAGTTAATGTTGTGACTGGATTTCATTAACCAGGTATGGCAGATAACCATGACACTCTGAGGGCTGTGAATAATCAGTAATTAATGTGGAAACAATTCACTTATTGAAAATTTATTTAGTGACCACCCCAACATGCCATTCCTGCCTGCCAAACAGTGGGAACTCAGGAGGGATTAACAGCAGCATTATTAAGATCAAGCTTGATTATTTCATATTATTTGCCTTTTAATAGAGTTTTGAACCATTTTTTAACTATTACACAGAACAAGAGGTGATTTCTGGGCTAACACTGACAAGCAGATGCATCTGATGAAGGTATATGCTGTTTCCTCCAGCACACTGGGCACTGCTAATGGAGGGGCAGCAGGCTGAGCTCCCAATCCATGCCCGGATTTGCACGTTCCCCTTCTGGTAACGTGGGCAACACTGCTGGGTGCAAGTCCTGGTCCAAGAAAGATTTAATCCACAGGCTTAATACTAAAGCAGAAGATCTGTCCTTTTTTCCTTCATCCAGTGCACACATGACACAAATGCAGGACAAGACCTGGCAGTGGCGTTTGGGTCAGTGCAGCCACTGCCACCTCAACGATCACCATCCCAAAGCAAGTGCAGTTACACACGGGGCAGCTGCTCACCCTGTCACAGCTCCACCCCAAACACAAATCAATTACACTGAAATTATAAATGGGTTTACCAACACTTCTGTAAAAAGCACAGAGGGTGCAAATCTTTAATGACCATGAAAATGAAGCACTTGGAGTCAATACCTGTCCTGGAAATGGGGGGCGAGTTCCTGTCCAGGCCACCTGGCTCTGGTTGAGCTGCCGGGATATCTGTGTCAGGTTCTGGCCTGTCGAGGAGGAAGACTGGATGTCGTTCACACCAGGCACATGCACCACAGATGAACTAAGGGTTCAGAACAGACAGAGCCTCGTTTGTAGGGTGTATTCTCAATGCACAAGTTGTATCCCAGATAAAGAAATACTGACAATATATTCAAACTAATTATTCAATCTGTCTTGATATGAATAATGACTGAAAACCTTTAGAAAACTATGAAACATACTGGCATTCTAAATGTCAGTTCTAGTAGACACAGCAGGCAAAATTATTTTGCATTAGACTTCAGCAGTCTCTTGGAAAGGGCTTCTAAGAATAAAAACAGTCTCACACATGGTGCATACACACTTAGCCCCACACCAGTTTAACATTTAATGCATTAAAAATCCGGCTTGCAGAGAGTATTCAAGAAGGTACTTCAACACAAATTTGTGCTTAAAGTCAACAGTATTTGAGCATTTGCTTAAATGCCATTCTAAATGAAGATGGGCACAAAAGATGATACTTATAAGCACTTCCTTATTTGTTTCCTGCCTGGGAAATGAAGAATTATGTGCTACATATTAAAAATAAGGGCTTTTAATTCATTTTTTCAGCAACTGATGCTAAAGAAGAACAGGCAGTTAAATACTCAGGCAAAAGAATAATCAAGACAGGAAGTTAAACTCATGTAGTAGCTTTGGAACACTACTAATAATAAAAACAATATTTTTAAGGAACATTTTTATATGTTAGCTGTTTCCCAGTTACTGAATTTCACTACAGAGAAATACCCAGAAATCTCTAATTAGAAGAAAAACTTTATGAAGGAACTGCTCCACTTCACCATTTTATTCTTATGGAAGTCTTGAGCAATAGCATCTACACAACCACATATTGTGACTGTACTTTTACATATAAACCCATACTTTTTACAGGTCATATATAGATGAATACAAATGAAGACAGCACACAAAACTACTTTCGTGGATCCACTGAAACAGCCTGTTCTTTTCTCCAATCCCTTTCCTATTGTTTAAGTTCACAATCTTACAGAGAGAGAAGAGAGCAGATTGGGAAAAGAAGTAAACAAGGCTGAGCAGAGAGAAAGCAGGAATCTGAATCCTTAGAAAAGGCTGACAGGATCCCTCCCAGAGTGCAAGCAAAACGTGGCAGGCATTTGAATATGGGAGTTGTTATTCTCGATTCCCTTCTGCCTTAAAGCAAAGTGTATGTTTAGAAATTCTTTGTAGAGTTTTCTAACTTTTTTAAAACTTGTTTTATTTTTATTTTATACTATCACAGAGTCCCTAAAGAGGGAAACGTAGACCAGAAAGTCCATCCAAATCTGGCTGGAGCACACAGCAGCTGCTGGGGAGGGCTGGCCCTGCTGCCAACACCTTCTCAGCTGGACTGGCAAGTCCCATCATCTAAGGAGCCTGAGCTGTATCTGGAGCTGCATTTTGAAAGAAGGATTCTACAGAACAGTGCCTAGAAGCTGCCCAGGCTCAGTGACTGAATGGGCCAGGCTGGAGATTATACAGAGGACAGCTCACTCAGAGTGGAAGTGCTGGCAAAAATGCAAGCCATTACTCGATGTAACAGAGTAACAGTAGGAAAAAAGCTACAGTTAAACATCAGGAATTAGCAAAGGAAATGAACAGAACACAAGCCAAACCCCCAGATGGCGAGTCAGTCACCCAGTAATACACAATATCCAATTAAAAGACATTTAAATTTACTGTCCTATCTCCCAAAGTTATACTCGATTTTAATTTGACAAAACACATTCGCATGGATCTTATTTCTCTTCACTCGGATTATTAGCAATTACAACTTTAAGAGCACACTGGTTTAAATAAAATCAGTGTTTGCCAATATTTTCCAGTTCGAGGAACTGACAGGTTCTGAGTGGCTGCTCCTTCACAGCCTTGGCTGGTTCGAATAGGAGAATGAAACTCCAGAAAGAGTTGGGGATATCACAAAGCACTAAGGTAAACACAACTGCTGCTATCACACTCTTCAAAAGCAACTGGAACCTGTATTGCCAGCTGGTAGGCAATGACACACACTTAGAATAACTCAAAAATGCCTTGGAACGTGCCAGACCACCACCTAACGTGTATCTGGAAGCTGCCTTAAAAGAGTATTCATGCCCCTGTCCCAGTCCTCACCTGGGACTATGGATGCAGCATCCCTCTGCTCCCTTTGATACCCACATCAGTGCCCTTCAAGGCAGCCTGCAGCAGTAGTGACAGCTGTAAGTGCAAAACAAATCTTTGCACTTTCCTAGCTTGGTTGGATGTTCCTCAGATCTCTGACCCTGCCCTGTCACCTCTCAGAGTTATCTCCCTTCAGAATTTGTTGCTGCTTCTTAGCTTTCTTCCCAATTACACTATCACAGCAAAAAGTACCTACTTACCAGCCAGTATTTTTAAGAGAGATACCCAAATCATCTCAGCTTGTAAGCCCAGCTTAAGTGCTGAAACATCCTCAGCAGTGAAATGTACATTAAGTAAAATTCATTCATGTAAAGAGAGCTCTTGCACCTTGGGTTGGTTTTGTTTCCACCATACTGAAGGGGGACATTCCCTCCTCTCAGACAGAAACTGATCCATTCAGGATCTGCACTGAATACCTGAAAGTCTTTCCCGAGTGTCCTGGCTGAAATGGGCTTCCCTGTGAGTAAAGCTGCTGGTTTCCTGCTGTGGATGCAGAGGCCATCATTTTTTTATCTGCTACAAGAGAAAAACAAATCACAGAAAATTAACTTAGCGGATGAGATAATGAAGGAAAAATTATTTAAAGACAATTGCAATGTATGTTTTCTTCCCTTCTTCAAGCTTCATGAAGAAGCCCTGTGGAACACATTAGGAATGGCAAAATGACAATTCAGTGTGAAACCAAAGGCACAGCTGGTTTGTGTCTCCTCTATGCTCTCCCCATAGGCTGTGCCTCGTTAATGCCATTGTTTGCATGGAACACTGTGCTAGCTTTGCCTCTGACCACACAGCCCAGACCTGCTGGAAGCTGCTCCTGACTGGACAGAGCACAGCTCCAGGTGGGGAGTGAGGGGTGCCCCCAGGCACAGAGTGGAGAGGGAAACAAAACTTTTCTGGAAGAAAGGTGTGAGGTCTGCCCAGAGGGATGGAGGGATGGAAACAAGCCTGCTCTGAAGAGGGCGTGATGCTCAGGTGAGGGTACAGTTCTGGCACCAGGAAAAGTCCTCCAGCCCCAGGGCTGCTACCACAGACTGCCTGCACTGATGTGGCAGCTGAAGACTCCCACCCTGCTGGGTCAGAGAACCCAAGGAAGGTCCAAGAGCTCTCTCCTAACCAGCTGACCATTTGCTTCCTGGGACAGCCCAAGGAGCACCCACCTCCCCAGCAGCCTGGTGGCACTGCCTGCTCATCTCAGGGTGACACCCTGCAGGCATTTTGCCCCTGAGTATCACAAGAGCTGCACACCTGATCTGTGGCAAGGCAAAACACAGCTCTGCTTTGGAATTTGCTGTCCTCATGTGGCTTGGGGGAGCCATGAAATAGGATGGAAGCACCCCAGAGGGGTGGAAGACAAATGAGCACAGTGACTAACTTGCACAAAGTGATGCCATTAACTTTTATAGTCTGCCCTTAATGTGGCAACTGGAGATCAATCTCTAATTGAATGAAACGAGATTGGGTGAGCAGCACCATTTGGTCCCTTAATTCAATTTTCTGGTACTGGATTATTCCAAAGCCCAGGGAAATCTCACTACCACTTCTCTTAAGATAATTTACAGGTCTGCTACGCCATCCTTTATTCACTTTCTCCATCTCCCCTCCAAGTGCAAAACACTCTGTAGCTCACTGATGGTTTTGCAACCATTTGTTACTGACAGGCCTAGAAATCAAGTCTGCCTCCTCTTTTCCCCCTTTGCTCTTTTCAGATTCCCACTCATTTCACAGGATGCTCTCTCGGACAAAAGGCCCTCTCAACTCACAAGTAACAGAAGTAATTTTTAGGTGTTTAAATTTTTTTTAGCTTTCCCTAGCTTTTAGAGACCTCCTGAGTGTGACTCACCAAAGGCCTCCAACACATACCAGCTCTTCTCTAAGTTGTTACATTAGGTTCCTAACAAGAACCTAAGCTTGCCTCTCAAAAGAAAAAAGTCACCTCAAATTCCCTCACAGGAGCCTTGGAGAGGGAGTGTGGATGCCACTGATGCAAGCTGGCATTGCTTGTCCTTTGTAATGCAGAAATTTGTAGAAATTCCCCCCTGGCTACCTACTGCCCAGCACAGAAACCAAGGCTGGGCTGCAAAACTACTCTCTCACATTAAAAAAAACCAAACAAAAAACAACAGGGAGAAATGGACACAAGGTGTAGAGAAGGTTGTGTATATAGCAGGAAGAACTGAGAATGGGTTGGCATATCTCTGAGAAGAAGGACAGATTAATTTGTCTTTTTCTGCAGTAATGTCATTCTTACATGAGATGTCCCATTTTCTAAGGCCAGCCTTTGCAGGGACACCAAACTCTCAGGGCTGGAAGAAACTGAGCCAAAATCCTGTGGGTGCTTTAGATATTTGAGAACAATTTACCAGAAAAAACGGAGAGTGCCCCAAATGAACTGGAATTCCTCAAGTGCAGCAGAGTTGCCATGGCAGCTGCCAGGGTCTGTGCCACAGGATGAGGCCAAGACAAAGGGAACAGCTAAACTAATAGCAAGCAGCTAATTCTCCTTCCTGAGTTACCCTGAATGCTCTTTAGCCTCTGAATCTGGCCCACATCTCTCCCAGCTGTATTTCTACTCAGGCTTTTTCATACAATTCTCTGCTCTCACCTTTGGTACAGCACCAATTTTTTTTCTTTTTTTTTCCCCTTTGTTTTTTTTTGGTGAATTTCACCTGTTTCTCTCTAAACTCTACCACTGTACTGGTCAATGATGTGCCTTCCCCCAGCAGGACCAGTATCTCCAACGTTTCTGCCTCTTGACTGAATCTCTCTCTAAGAACTGCATCATCTCATGCTTCAAATCACTTGCACAATTCAGTAAAGCCAGGCTTCCTCTCCCACGGTTTTATAGTTTTAATTAAGTGTGGCCACTTCATGCAATTTTAGCAGCAATCTCCCTGTGTCAGCCCATGTTCTTACAGAATGAGATCAGGTATCAACATAATGCAAATGTCTGGCAGGCAGCACACAGGCTTGTCAATATTGGTTTTGGACAGGGTATTTCATCCCTAACTGGGAACCATCCTTTATCATTCAGAGGAAACCTTGATCACAGCTCCCATGAGAAATTCAGAGAAGGAGAATGTCCCAAAAAAAGCACAGCCTGTAAATTGATAAGAACGAAAAGAGAACTGGCATTTCCAAGAACATAACCTCCCAGCTACCTCACAGCTTGTGACACCCTTAACTCTAACCCCTCCCCACAAACAGCTGAGAGCTGCCTGAAAAAGAGCCAGTAAGGCAGCCAAAAAGCAAGATGTTCTTGCTTGAAAAAACATATTCTGGTGTTTAGGGTTGGAGTCTTGCTACCTTCTAATGGACCCCTTTTGTGGCCTCAGCTGTTGACTCCACTGTTCCAGTAAACAGACAAGGATGAACAGGAATAGCAGAGAAGTCCTAGCAACAGGAAGACAGAATATCAAGTATATATTGCAGTTACAATGTCTTCTCTAATTGAAAAAGCCAATCCAGACATAAGAAACCAACAGTGAGGTCACCTTCCAACACCCCTGGAGTCAAATCCTGTGAGTTGTTTCCTCCCTGCACTGCATGACACTTGCACATTGATTTATTTAAAACAAATGTAAAAATTCCTCTTTTTCAGTGAAGACAGTTAAGAAAAATAAATAATCAATGAGCTCTTCCACAAGCCATGGCATTAATGAGCTGCTTTCCTACAGATATATCTCATAAGCTGCCAGTTTTAGTGGTTTCTGTCTGTTAGGGCAACAGGCAGCACAGGCTGGGGCTACTTTGAGACAGCTCCATCTGTCTGACTGACAAGCTGGCTGCTACCTCTTAGAACAGGCATGGGAAATCGTTTGGTGAGGGCATCAGTAAGGACTCTGTCAGTAATCTCCAATGAACACAGAACAATATATTGGTCCTGAGATTCCTGTCACTCTTAGAAGAACTTGCTAACAAGTTTAAAAGCTGTGGGAAAAAGAGCAAGGACTCCTCACAGGTACCATGACTGAGAATTGACCAGAGAACAAGTATATTGTTGGCAGCATATGACTCTGAAAGCATCAACAGAAAAGCTGGTGATTTGATAAAAATCTGCAGCCTATCTTAAGACTATATGGTAACTGTCTTGTCCCTTTTTAAAGAAATATACGTCCCTATTTAGAGAAATTAAAAGAAAGAAAATATACACTTAGAAATGGAATGTTCTGCTCAGTATATTTAATAACTAGGAGCACTGCCTAAGATGTCCTGTGAAATGAAAAGAAAATCAAAACCAGGCAGCTCTGGTGACACAAAAGCCATCCTTTCCTCTTTGAATTTACTCCTATTATCTTTAGGGGAAACACCAACTAATGACAAATGCTAGGAAATGTCCCAAAGACTGATGCTGCTTAGAAAATTCTCTGCCATGCAGCAGTTCCTCTTCATTCTCTTAAAGCTGTGCTCTACATCATGTAACCAAGCTTAATACAGTATTATAAATTAAACATTAGGGACATTCACTTACAAGCAGTTATTCCAGCAAACATCTCAGCAAATCTAGGATCTCTCTCTTGGGAGAAGATAGCATCAGGCTTTTCCACAGACTTTCCACCCTCGTGAACATTAGCTGGTATACTTGGAACAGGCACCTGTTGAGATACACAGAGGAAAGTAATTCCCTCTGCTGGACTTGGCAAAAAGGAATTCAGGGACAGTCACAATGTACTTTTAGTTTTGCTGAAATCTGCTGTTGTTTTACATCTTAAATGATCACAGGCACAAAAAGAAAAATCTGAGAAATTTCACCTGAGATAAGTCATAGGATGACAGCCCATCTCTTTGATGTACTTCGAGTTCTGCTTGCTGTTGCTGAAGTTGTCTGCAAGAGAGATAAAATCACTTTCTTACAAAAACCAATTAAGATACAAAAAGGAATAGTCATGGTCTCCTATTTTACACTCCCAGTGAAACGTGTCTCAGATGATTTGTTAAATCCTTCCCTGTGAGATCCATCTGTTTTCACAGCTCTCTCATTGAGAAAACCTGCACCACAGGAATTCAACAGGGCACAGGAAGAATTTTGCTGTCATAGCACAGAAGTGTAGGTGGATAAGTAATGGAAGATGGAACACAATCTCTTTATAAAGGATTTAAAAATTCACTATTAATTCATTGTCATCCTCATACTAATGAGGAACACACCAGACCCCCTCTCTGACTCTGCTGAAGGAAACAGTAAGCTTGCTCTCCAGGAAGATACCTAATGACAGAGCACCTCAGCAGCTGGAAAGCATCCAGATGTTCTGCACCTCTGATTAACAATTGCTTTCTGTTGCTTGGTCACAAGAAGCAAGAAAACTTCTGGCCTGGAGATGCACGGGTAGAACTCTCATCTTTGTGGGGCTCTTGGCTCAGTTAGATAAAAACCCCCACAATTATGCTAGAGCTCAGGGATTAGCACGGGATTGGAGGTGAACTGACAAAATACTTGGATTTGATACTTGTAAATGATCCTTGACAATTACCTCAGTTTGTGTGTTTCTGGCTTCTTTGTGAAGGAAAAATCACCCAAAAAAAGGGAATTACACACCATGTGTGTCTTTCCTCAGAGAGATGATACTTGGACAGGCAGGAATAGATGAAATTTTGTAAAACAGCAAGATCATGGATTTGGAACTCTCAAAAATTACAATGTATTTTTAGCCACAGGCTTAAATTTTAGATTTTCATCCAAATATTTTAGATTTTGAAATAGATTCAAATGCCAAGGGACCGAGAGACAAACTTGCAGACAAAGTCAAATGCCAAATTAGGCATAAACTAGTGGAAACGTGAGGAATCACTCAAACAAGCTACTGAAGTAAGTAACAGATTTTGCTACCCCTTGAAGCTTTTCCAGAAGACCCTTTGGTCAGTTTTTATGTTCCATGGCAAAAATCTCTGTCCTGCAACAAACAGCAGGTCAGAGTAAGTGGCCAAAAGCCTTCTGCAAGCCTTACAGTGTGAGAACACATAATACAGGGGATAACTTTTGCCCTAGCAGTAACATGACACAAAAGGCAGTCCTCCAAACCATAAGAGAGCCATGGATTTTCCCTATTATTTTAGCGAGCAGAAAATTCCTAAAAATTATCTCTGGAATGCAAAGACATTCTTTGCTCACAAGCATAAAACGCAAACTTTTCCAACAGAACTACGGGAGGCAATTTCATTGTGGGGAATCTATGGGGAAGTTTCTAAATACCACCCCGTGGACAATAAACACCCATTAAATCCCGTTGTTAACGTGAAAGTCAATTACACTGTTTCATTTGTTTTTATTACCACCGACTTGGTGCGTGTGTCAATAAACAGCACATTAGGTTCTCCTCTGTTCCTTATAAAGAATGTTTTCTTGATTCAGCCATATACATACAAATGAGCCAAACCAAACAGCACACTCACTCGTTATTTGTTTTGTAGGCATTTCTCTAACGTAGTGCTCCTTCGCCCCCCTCTATCTTTCATCCCTAATACTCATTAAGCTGCAGTATAATATAAACACCACGTTGTGTTAACAGCATTGAACTTTGGGAACAACCTCCCAAAATCCATTTCCTATAAAAACCAAGAAGTTGCGTGTATCTTTACTGAACTCTGGGCAAGCTATGCTGCACTTAATTAAGACTGAAATGCAAAGCCAGGGTAGCATCTTCTGTTGTTGTTGGCTGCTACTGAATAAATAGTTTAAATGGTGCTTGAAACCTGAAAGAAATTGTGCAGCAATTCATGGAGCAGCCGACCAGGGAGAGCTCAGTGCTGCTGCTGTGGCTGCTTCAGACCCTGCCATCTCACCAGCCCTTCTGACAGCCAACAAAAGCAGGTCCCTTCAGTCACCCAACTGCTGGACAGTAAAAATGAAACAGAACAAGAGATTATCATCAGTTTAAGCAAAACTCAAAGTTGCTTTCTAAATCTGAACCCAAAAATTGTCCTTGGTTTAAATTTCAGTTTCAGGGGTTCAAGGAGTAATGACAAATTTCTTGGCTCTACAGGATACCCAAGTATCCTGTGAGGCACTGCCTGCAAGTGAGCAAGGCACTGTCTGTGTCAACAGTGGATTCTGTCTGTATTGACCCACAGGTTCAGTATGAAGCTGGGAAAGCCCTTGGCTTGGACAAGGAATGGTTCAGCAAATCTGAAGGCTTTGATAGTCAATTCAAAGTTACTTTAGTAAATACACATGGAAGAAAAAGGAAGATAGTGTGGAAGTTCTTCTGACATTTGAGAGGATATTAAGTTCTATGAAAACTGAAGTCACTGGTTCCCTTTCCACGCATCAAACAAAAAATGATTTGAACTTTAAAATTAACAGGCTCTTTGGTGAGAGAGAAACAACAGTACTACATCCATACCAAGCTATTTTTATGTAATACAGGCACACATGTTTCCTGTGTCTGGTTTGGACAAAAGCAGAGTAGTAAAAGCCTTGGGGCTGTGGTTGTAAAATCCTCCTTCAGAAATTCTCAGGATCCCCCTCCTTGAGCCTAGAGCTTCAACTCTGCAAAAGGGTCTAACTCCAGTATCAGACAGACCACAGATGACACAAGAGCACGAGAGTCTTTACCACCACCACCACCAACTGGGATTTTATCAGGACAGTTGATCTCTTTATTATTTTGGCCCACGAGCACCCAGAGCACAAAGCACTTCTCCCACAGGCTGATTCATCCAGCTGGCTGCTTCCACAGCGACCTGTGCCAGTTCACTCCAACACAAGAAGTCTCGAGACTCAGGACAACCACAGGACTCATAAATTCACACAGTGCAGCACAGGATTTGTGGCTTCCAAAAATGAAACATCAGATATTCCACACAGGTCAGAAAAATACATCTCCTCTTTATTTTGATGTATATACATATAAATATATATACATATAAGACCTTTATATAACCTGTCACCACAACATTTTTATTCAAACACTGTTCTATCCACATAATAAATAAATACTGATAACAATTATTTTTTTTCTTTGGAAATCAAACAGTCCCAACTACACAGGAAGACGTGGTCAAACAGGGGACTCTTCTTTTCAGCCCAACACAGCACAAATGTGAAATGTTAAATGCTTCATTTCTCCAGGAAGTTTCTCTTGGATGACTACACCCAAGTAAATCTGAGAGAAGTTTTATTTTCTTTTCTTTTTTTTCTTTTTTTCTTGCAAAGAACTAAGTGAACATTTGAACCTAATGTTTCCTTATCCTTCTGTACCAAAAGCAAGTTTGGACATTTGACTGTTTGAAGCTCCAAAGGAGCATCTTTATTTTAAAAAAGAAAAAAAAAAAAAGAAAGAAAGAAAAAAGAAATTAAAAAAAGAAACAGAACAACCGAACCAAGCCAACAAGTAACAGTAAAAACCAATTACTCTCTCCACAACTGGAGTCATCACTGCCCTCTACAGTCTTTTGGGAAAAAGCTGTTCACTGACCAACTTGAGTTACTCCATTAACAGACATACACAGATGTATGTACTGTGGCTTTAAACTATCCTCAGTTAAAAACGGATTTAAACCCAGATTTTTTGGCTACAGTGTCTTTACAATTTCACGCTGCATTTTTAACTACTTCAAGCCTGTTTTTTTATGGGGCTGCCTAGTGACAGGCAGATCAAATCTGTCTCTGAGCCTTCAGCTGGGCAGAGCAAAGCATGCCTGCCTGCTCTCCATGGGAAGCACCTTGCTGGACCCAGAGCACCTTCCAGGAACATGTAAGGATGGCCACACATCAGGGCTGGTGCCAAACCACCAGTCCCAGCAGCAGCTTAATGAAAAGTTGGAAATCACCAGCTGCACCATGACGTACAACTCTTCAGGGCAGCTAGGAAATTAGAAATCAAAACATGACCCCAAATATGAGGGGGAAAAAAAAAATCCAGAAGCAGGCAGGAACTGCAGTACTTTACAGTAAGTCCTCTTTGGAAATCTGAGAACTGGGAGAGAACAAGGGGAAAAACAAAACCAGTCTGAATAATGCGTTCTTTCTACTATTCAAAAGCAGGAGTATAATGGGCTGTATCTTGCCCATTTCAGAACATTTTCAACATGACAGGAAAGAGGGAACATCCTCTGTCAAAGTAGCAGCAGGCAACTTCCATATTAGGTCAGCATTTCTGGGTTGTTATTCAAACCTAGCAAGAGATGGAAGCAGAGCCAGGAGCTGGCACAGTCCTATTCATCACAGAGAGTGCTGTGGTGCCAAGCTGAACTGTACAGTGCAGCCTCAGAAAATAACATTCCCAGAATCAACACAGCATAAGCCTCCAGCTCCACTTTTTCATCCGTGGCCTCTTGGGAACAAAGCACAATTAAGCCAGCCTGGGACAAACCTCAGAAGATGTTTTTTCACTTTGCAGGCCTATTTCTGCATATACAGATAATTTGGAAAAGTATTATGGGACAGCAGAAATGTAGAAATAGCTATTTTGATGCACAATGCAGACAAGCAGTCTGATTTCAAGACATATTTGCCTGTTTTCAATGAGCTTAACTATTCAGTTTAAGCCCAACTTTATGGGTATGCAGAAAAAAAAAAAAAAAAAAAAAAAGAGGTAAACAACTGTGATGCTGGGTTTCATGTAAGTGAATGCACAGCCCTTCCAGTCCAGGTATGTGCCATGTAGAAAAAAAAAAAAAAAAAAAAGGAGGTAAACAACTGTGGTGCTGGGTTTCATGTAAGTGAATGCACAGCCCTTCCAGTCCAGGTATGTGCCATGTCCAAAGAAGCAAGACAAGGAATGCCCAGAGGCACTTCCAAACTCCAATGCCAAAGGCCCAGGGGTTTGGTTTTGCAGTGGAGCTCTCAGCAGGCACCTCCAGCAGCAGACTGCTCATTCAGCATTTCTGATATATGGTCTGACAGGCTCAAATCTCAAACACAGTAATTTCCTCCCAGCTAAAGACTTGGCAAAAAATCTCTGGTCAGAGCCGAAGAAGATTTAGTTTTACTAATAGATTAAGTTTATATTGGAAAGAAGAAACATTTATTAAAAAACCTCACAATATAAAGCAATCAAGGCCAGATTAGGTTATGCATTTACTGGCTGAGAACTCAGCAGGCTCCAAAAGCATCTCTGCTCAGTCCACAGACATCAACCTCCACCATACTCTGAGCGTGACCTCCTCCTAAGAGGCCAAGTGAAAGATTTTTTAAAATATTAATTCCAAGACACAATGATTTCATTTCCCTCTTAAGATAAGGAGTTGGATCACTCCCATACTTGGGGATATTCTATCAAATCTAAACTTTCAGGAACCCTTCCCAATCAAACCTACTAGGAAATAATTCTGCCAGCTTCATTAGGTCATAGGAGTAGACACAGCTCAAGCAGAAGAGCCCAGAACTACAGAATGGTATGATCACAATGAACATGGACAGGGAATTTTCTTTTGGCTTAGGAGTCAGGCTAACCTTCCTCCAGTATCAGGACAGCTGCTGAGCTGCTGGAAGCTCTGCATTAGTTCAAGGCAGCCTGGACTGAGATCAATGGCCTTGTCTAATGACATAACAGATAAGTGACGTTTCCCCCCAGTGCAGCCAGGCCCTGGAAGCATCACAGGATAATGACACAGAGAAACAGCTACACTGGGAGATCTCCTGATGCAGCAAAACCCTGTTACAGCCTGCACTGCCGGACAGAAACAAAAGGAATCTGTTAAAAACTGGGATGTGCTTTACAGCAAAAAAAAATGGTTACAATTCCTTCAAAACCATGGAGCTGAACACCCAGAAAGGCACATACTTTACGTTAGTGTTGGTGCAGATGATGTACTCGATCTCATCAGAATAAGGATTCTGAAATGTGAAGCTGCTGGTTCTGATCAGCATCCACTCCCGGTTTTTGGTGCGAAAGCGATACATCACAGACAGGACTTGACCTTTCAGTTTTACCACCTGCAAAGCCATTTGGAAAGGTTAATAACAGGAGACTGCTCTCTGCTGTGCAAATGAATAGTCAACAGCAGCAACTGGTGCATTTTAAACTTGAATTCCAGAAAGCTACGGGCACAGCAGAAGAATTTTTAATTTGGAGAGAATACACAAAACCCATCCATGCTTACAGCTATCTCCGTCAGAATTAAATCCTCATGCTTTGTCATATAAAATGCCAATTTCCAACCTTTTTATAAAAAGAATACAGACTCAGGACAATCGTCAGGTTGTGCTGTTATCCCAACAAAGAAACTTGAGGAATGTTTTAATGTAAAACACTGATCGAAAGACTGACAGAAACCAATCTGAGAATCTTTTAAATGTTTATATGTAAATCATAAACCAATCACTGCAGCTAAACAAAATCCTAGAGGAAAAGCCATTTTGAGGTTTACTGCTTTTCTGCTTGGATACCCAGCTATACAATCAGTATAAGTGATAAATCAGCATTCAAATTTAGGACAATGCTTAAACACAATGGTGTTTATTTTTTGTTATTTTAGAAAACACCAGGGGTTGGTTCCCCCCCATCCCAAACATATCAAAAGACTCTCTAAAATGGCAAATTGCTATCAAGAAAACACTTGCTTCTGACTTTCAGAAGAAAAAAGAGTGAGCCAGTGCTTGAATGGAGAGAGCACCGATAAGCCAGTGTCCATTTTAGTAGTATAAATTCCTTTCTTGCACAGGCTATTTGTTTGTAAGTAAGAATTCAGATGTCTGGGTTTAGTAGCTGAGGTTTTGTTCAAGTCAACAGTTGGGCACCAAGCAAGGATTAAGAAGCAGCCAACTAAAGTACATTCAAAGCAATTTTCTCACACTGCAACTGCATTTCATGTGTTATCCAACAATCTGGGGTTAAACCAGAAGGAAATTTCCACAGTTTTAAGTCATTCAGCTGGCACTTACCTGGCCTATCTCTGTTTATATTTTACAGCTTTTCCACCAGGCTATCTCAGGCTTGCCTCAAGGAAGGAAAGGGAAGGTCTACTGCAAATAAATGCCACATCTTGTGGATTCTTAATCATTAACATCTGGAATTTACTTTTTATTAGCTATCTGCAGCCTGTATTCTCTAAAAGTAGAAGTCCCACTATTTACCCTCTGTCTTTATTGACAAGCAATTAGATTAAGAAAAATGTTTCAATCCTGTTTTTTTCAGAGGTTTGCACTTCAAATAATCAACCAGATATAGAACTAAATGGAAAGAATGCAAATAGAAGACACAACAAGCTTTAGGAAAGACCAGGAAAGTTCAAAATCTTACTGAAGTAAATGACTTTTGGTTGGTTTTGTTGGGGGGTTTTTAATACTTTCACAGGGTTTTTCTGAGCTCACTGAGCAACATTCTTTTATCAGCAATTTTCTACTACCACACCCAGGATAGAAACCACAGAGCTGGTGTAGAGTGTGCAATCTGAATAGTATCCTACTGGATAGCTATCCAATAGCTGCATACTAGACCCTTTGATACTAACCTGTGTTTGTTGGTCTCAGCCTTGAGACTATCTTATTCTGGCCTGATTTTTCCCACCCTGATGAATTAATTTATCTTCCCAAGGAAATAAAGCTCTGAGATAGATACTGGCAATTGACCAAAAATTGCAAAACCCACCCTCCCTCCTTCCCTCCTCTGTTATGCACCAGCCCGTTTCTGATACTGTCAGCAAATCAGAAGTGTCAAGTTTTCAGGTTTTAGGGGGAAAAAAAAGGAGTTTATTTGAAATCACAGTTACCTTTTTAATTAAGAGAATTCCAAGTCCGAACTAACAATAATAAAACAAATAGCAGTGATCTATTACCCTGAAACCCTGATTAAGCAAACAGTAATTCTGTAATAATATATAGAGATTATTGGTGGGAAAATCCTGAACTGTCTTAAGACAGAGCACACAAACAAACCAGCACAAAAAATTTCAAAGCTAATGATTAAACGTTACTTTCTTATATTCTTTGGAAATAAAAACCACCTGGTGCAAAGCTTAACTGTTTACTTCAGTCTTTTATTGCATGTGGGAATAACAGCCCCAATCACATTGCTACTGTTCTGAACAAAAATACACCCAAGAAGGCATTGGCTGCTAAGCAAACTACACAGTATTTTCATAAATTGGACATAGATTGAATGAGCAGGAACTTTCACTTCTAATTGCATTTTTTCCTGCTGTCTTTCTCTATGACCTTAAGCACATTCCGTAGGTCCCTGATCCAGCAAATCACTTATGCACATGCCTAGCAGTGAGTGGTGACAGTGGAGTCCCCAGCAGCCGAGTCCAGGGACACACTGGCAGCCTCCCACAGCCTGATCTCCCTCCCAGGAAACACAGAGAGGACCAGGTCATTAACTGCAATGTTCATTAGTCAGCCCTGCTGAGACCCAGGCAACACTGGATGTGTGATGGGCCATTATCCAGCAGCTCTCTGTCACTGTCTCTTGGACAGATGAGTGGAATCAATCATTTGGGCACCACTGAAAAACAGCATCTGTGTTCTCACTGCTCCTGCATCACTGATGCCATCAGGAGCCAGTTTAGGGAGCTGAACCAGCCCAAAGCTGGAAGTTCCCTGCAAAAGCAATTAGTGCCTCAGCCTTCCCAGCAAGCCCATCCCTGCCAGCACCAAGGCAGCAGGAAGGCAGGGAGCAGGGCAGGCAGGGGAGAAGAGGGGAAGCAGGAGCTGACTCCTGGTGACAGACCCCTGTCAGGATTCAGCTGCAGCATCACATCCCCAGCCTCGGTGGGGCAGAGGAGCTGCTCTGGCTGTGGTGACCTGCTTAAAGCATTGAACTCTCTCAGCCCGTGAATCAACACCTTGCATTTAAAAAGGCTGCTGTTTGCACTCAGACTCTGCAAGGGAACTGGAGGCACAGTTGGCCATGGGGCTGGTAGTCCCTGCTGAAGGGGAGGATGGTGAGAAACAGCTCAGAGTGACCAATATTTTACACTATCTCCAATACTTCTGCAGCAACCATAAGCTCAGTTTCACAATCTGTTCCAGGGACACAGCATTCAGTTGGTTTTCCCCTAGAGGCTCTGTCTGTACATGCCATGCCTGAACAAATAGCTGGCTATAGGAATTATTTAGAAGATACTTCTTATCCACATTTCACAGCTGAAAATGCATCTCAGCATCCAACACAAGATGGATCAACACAACTTGGTTGGACTATTGGCTGTTGTTAGAAAATTTGGAAGCACTTAGATCAAGTGAGCCTCAGGAATAGGTTAAACACCCTGTGCTGGGTGTTCTGGTGCAGCAGGAAAGGCACTGAAAAGCCCAGCAATAGGAGGCAGCTTGAGGAAAGCCCTGCTAATGCATGTCCCAGACCAAGCTGAAACAGCAAGCTCTGCAATCATTGCAATCATTGATTCAGTTGATGTAAATGTGGCCCATGGTAAAAACGAATCCAAATCAGTAACTCTTCATGTATGTTGTATTTCTTTTGTTACTTCCCTGTACATTTCAATTTCTAACAGAGAAAAAGGGCCAAATTACATGTTGATGTAAAGTGGTGTAACTCCATTAAAGTACATAAAAATACATTTCATCTATGCTAGCAGAGAACTCAGTTACAAACAATCCAGTGTCACAGAGGGATGTAACCCTTCCAAATCAGCAGCCCATCTTGGAAGGTAAGTAATTTTGGTTACCACTTAACATAGTGGGATCAATACAGGCATCTCCAAAACAGTTCACCCTGTGCAGCAAAAAACCAAATACATAACTAGAAGATTTATTTCTGAAAATACTGTCAACCTGTGCTGCCGTTTAAGCTGCCATTTATTATGCAGCTTAACCAATTGATTACTGACCAACAAATTGTTTTGTATCTTGCCACTCCTTCTCCTGCATAACAGAAAAAAATACCTTGAACTATAAAATAAAAACTACTTCTGTGGTCAAAATAATAACAAAATAATAGAGTGTGGAATGAAAGGAGCAGGACACAGCACCTGTTGGAAACTCTCTCGCAAATGGCTTTGATCTTCAGGATGGCAGAATTCTAAAATATCTTTCCCCAGAAGATCCTAGAATAAAACATAAAGCTATGTAAAAAACCCAAACCACAACACAAAACCATGTGCAGATCTGCAAGTAATTCCTGCAAACACAAGATCTATCACACTTAATGGGACTACTCAGTTAATCAGGAATGAACCACACAAACAAGGTTTGTAGGCATCGTGCCCCATGTTTTTACAAAAAATTTTAAGTAATTTTCTAATACCTGTGAAATAGTGTCTTGAAAAGACTGACATCTGCTACTACAGCTCATTTTATGGCACTAACTTTTTGTAAAAACACTTATTATCATGCAATTTAAAATTTAAAAAATTAATAAGCAAATAAACATGGAACAACTTTTGCCTCTAAATTGCAACTATTGGGAGTTATCTGAGGGAGAGCTGTGGTTCATTTACTATTGTACTCAGTTCTGTACTAGCCTCCTGTTCAGAGGAGCAGATGTAAGCCTAAAGGAAAATAGATGCTGTAAATTATGTTTGCTTACTGTTCAAGAGATTGGTGGAATCAAAGGTCTACAGGACTAAAACTCTGTCCAAGCACTGTTAACTTTCTATCACAGAAATGTCTTCACTGGAAAGCTGTGCAAGGTTCAGAGCACTCTGCTGTTAGAATTTTAATCAGATCTAAAGGTCTAAGAAGATACCCCACACAGAGGCATGGACAGCAAAGAAAAACAAACAGCATTTAGTGCACGATATATAAATTGTCAGCTACAAATACTTCATGTTTGCAAATGGGATTTTCTGCATTAGCTCCACCCATTCTCCACATTCCCAGTGGCCACAGACCTGGGGCTGGTAGCCAATGACGCTGATGCACCTTGGGTCCACAAAGGTGATGACTCCATCAGAGTTGTGGCGGGACAGGAACTCCGTGGGGACTGACATGCCGTTCATGTCCATGCACACGGGAGAGCTGGTCACCTGGGGCCAAGCAAGAGCACACCACAGTCACCCAGGGCCAAATGTGCCCCTTAACTACAGAACACATCTGCAGACTGCTAACAACTGAAGGGAATCAAATAAAACAACAGCACAGGTAAATGACAGAACAGCTTTTAGTCCAGTTTGCAGGGCAAATATCTCCCCACGGCATCTATCGAGGTTTAACAGCACAGCAGAGAAACAAACACACCAGAAGTTCCCAAGAAAGGGGGATATAGTGAGGCTGTAAGTCCAGCTGGATTCATCTCACTTTGCAGCACATCAGGCATCACAGTTCCTAACTCAACCCAGAATGAGTGACTTGCAGAGGACAATGCAGTCCATTCGTTTTAGGATAGGAAACCAACCCATTATTTGTAGACCTTACCAACAGGACTGCTCAGACTAAACACTCATGTTTCAGGTGTCATGAACCTCACCTGAAACATCTACAGAACCTGAACCAAGTCCTCCAGAGGCTGAGGTAGGGGATATGAGACCAGCAAGCAGCTGCTCATAATGAAAAACAGTTCTCTAAATACTTCTCAAATCTCACCAGAGAGAACTATGTGTTTTCAGCTCCCTGCCTGAAATCTGTGCTATCAGGCCACTTCATATCCATTCTTTCCCACTGGAGGTAAAGAGGGCAGCGCTGATTTTCTTACAACTTCCAGAGCCATCTCTGCTGACAATGTAAAATGAACCAAATCTCATTTTTTTGTTAATTTGGAGATGATTGGCCAGTTGACTGTATGCAAGATTTCAACTTGCTGTTACAGAACAAGAGTTTTTAATTTGTGCACCCTGACTCCTTTCTGATTTAACCCACCACAGAGCTTCCTCCTGTCCTCCCTCACATACCACATGGCTCCTCCAACGTAACAGATGTTTTGACATTACTTGGAAATCATCTTTCTTTGGAAGCTGTAACACATGAACCCCCATAACTTCCTTCTTTCCATTAGTGGAATATATTACTCTTGCTTATGAAAGCATGATTAACCTAAAACCCATCCTGCAGTACTTGTGTAGCTCTGCCGTGGCCATGGAGAGCCATTCTGCAGACATGCTAACACTGCAGGCTGTTCACCTGGCTAAGATGGGTTTGGTACCTGTGAAAGGGTCATTCCACCTTGTCAGGGTCATTGCACCCTGTAAGAAGGAGTGAGCCCCTCCTGGCAGATGGCAGTGAGTCCAGGGGATCATGCAAGAGGCTCAAACATGTTCACCCATGGCAGAATTCCCAGACCAGGAAGATGAAAACTGTCCTCCCTGCTGTGGTGAAGGAGATTCACCATGACTGCTTTAGCACAGAGCTCTGAACTCTTCTCAGCAATGCACAAAGGAGGAAATGCACTACAATAATTGCAATCGTCTGCATAAAAAGGAAAGAAAATTTTATTCTCCCAGTTCCTTCAGCTCACATCTCATCTGAATGCATAACACAATACACACAGAATAAAGCTATGATTTCTGAAGTGCCTCTTGACTGCTTTATCTTTACCATTTTCAGAATAACTCCTGCAATCACAGTTTTTCAAGCAGCTGATTAGTCAGAAAGTGAAAGACTGGAAAAATGGCAGGGAGTGTATCACTGGCTTTGGGGGTCACTTTAAGCCACCACCTGCAGCACCTGCACTGCCACGTTCCTCACTGCCTCCAGCACCTCAGCCCTGCACACCCTAAAGAATGGCAGGTCTGTGCAAACTCATCTTCAGGAGCATCTCTGCTGTTGTTACTGGATTAAGTACACATATATACCAAAATCACAGTTTCATTCTGCTCTGCTGACAAGTTCTAGACAAGTCACTGACTGCACAGACATTAAGGCACTTTATAAACTGAAGCCATGTTAAAAGTTACAGTCTAGTAGCAAAACAGTGTGCAAATCTTTTACAACTACACACAACAATGATCATGCTTTCAGAAATAGTTTGTATATGGAAAAGACTGGCGTTACCTGAAGCCTTCCTATTGCCACGAGGCAGTATTTACTACCTTGTCCCACATCAGCATCTTCTTCTGGTATAGTCATTCCTGGAGTAAATGATAACAAATACTGTTATAACTAGGCAATTGGGATAAACAGGGATGCTGCTGTCCTGGCTCTGTACTTTTCTAGATATTCTAAGTCTTACAAAATATCCTCGTTTTCTTCTCTAAGATTCAGTCACTATTTCTGGGTTCAGATCAGATGATCCCTCTTAGTTGTGCTCAATCCTATGTACCTCCCATGTACACAGAGTACCCATAGCAGCAATTTTGGCTACTGAAGACAAAGCAGATACGAAAATTCCATTATACACTGAGATGGACATTAACATTTCCATGAGTGCTGCTCCACCAGCATGTTATGGAACCATGGGGTCACTTAATAAGGTCAGTGAAGGCATACTATGTTGTTTTCTTTGTGAATAACATTTTGCAATGAGCCTTAAAAACAAGGCACAGACTAAATTAATCACTAATTCTGTACTCATATCTACCAGCTGGTTTTACTTTTTTCTATAATGGACTAAACCTGCGTCGTTACGTTGAAAGACTGAAAAAAATGTGGATGCTTTGCTAACATTGCTCGTTCCGGTTGTGTAACAGGAGTAACTGCTATAAACACAGCAATAGTTTCAAAACATACATGTGTACTATTTTCCATCTCAGTGTTTCACAAATAGGAACATTCAGATTAGCACTGTTTACTTGCTTGTTGGCTAAGCCTTGAGTTAAGGCTATTTCCCAACTCCATACTGAGATACCAAGTTCGTATAAAACACTTGAAAAACGTCTTCCAGGACTGACACCACTGACCTATTTTAAGTGATCTGTAAACTCTTTCACAAGGATTTTAAGGAATTCAGTCATAACAGGCAGTGAATCATTTAAGAGGCACTTAAAAGCATTACTGAAATTAATCGCAAAGCAGCTACCATTTCTGAAACAACAGCCACTTTATTTTTTAAATTTATAATCCCCAGTGTAAGTCACTCTTTGGACAGTCCAGAGGATGACAGCACACCACTTTCTTAATTGACACCTCTGAAAAATGACTAAAAATCCTGCTGAATGAACTGGAGTCATCTCTAAAGATGCTATTTTGTATCAAAACAGTTGAATCTTATCTGACAATCAGTCAGTTTCCAAATAGCACTTTACAGGTATTTTTTGGTCCTCACTGAACTATACAATAAAATAATATACACCAAGTATGAAAGGAACTCCCCCACCATGTTTTTGTATAATACATTGAAACTTGTTCTGCAATAATTTCACAATCTGGGGTACACAATATTATTTGCAGCCCCCTATGATAACTAGAATTTTATCAAAAGGTCTCAAGAGCTTTACAAAGGAGGAGCATTATTATCTCATCTAACAAGTGCTGTTTTAAGGACATAACTCTAAGCATTCTAGCTGGATAACCTTAACCAAAAGATCCCTTTCAAATGGAGTTTTCCATTTGAGAAGGACACATTTAAAGTATATTCCCTTGACTTCAAAAGCTTTTCCAATCATTTCCTTAGAGGAACAGAGTATTGCAAAGGACAGCAAAGATACAACTGGACAGCTTCCACTTTGCATAATCTTTTTTTCTCTGCAGCTTTCAACAATGCTTTCCTTTTTAGGAACTTGATCCATGCTTGCTACTGCTCAAATAAAATCAAAGTAACATAAACAACCTCCAAAATTAAACCTAGCTAAGACACATTATTTCTGATGTCACTCTGTTGACAAAGGGAGGCAAATTAAACAATACATGACCCAATGGATTGTTAACCCCTTCCCAAGTGCCTAGAGAAAAAACATGACAAAAACATTGTCTGCTTCTCTGCAATGTAGGAGCTATTACTGGCAGCATTCCATGCAGAGAAATTATTCTCTTTATTCTTCAGCTGATATTTCCAAAGATTCAACTCTGGGTGTCTTTATATGGGAATGTGCATCTGTAGATGATATTTACTTTTGCTTTAGCACATTTCCTCTTGAACACATTCCAGTATGGGCAGATAAATAAAGACATGCACTGTATTTTCTACCAGTTTGCCCAGCTCTTAACACAATGTAATACTGCTCCTTAACATCACCAAGTACCATCATTATCTCTAAAAAAAGTTGTAAGAGCTTGGAGGAAAGCAGCCATGAAACTGATCTTTAGGGGACATCAACAAAATAAACATACTCCAGTTGTTCACGTTTTTTATGTATAACCCTGGGAGAGGGTTTATTTCTCAACACCAAATATACACCCCTCTCAAATAATAAATACAGTGCTGTGCTTGCCTGAGTTCATATCAACAATTGGCACAGCTAAGCTGCAACTGAGCATCACAAATAGAATGCTGTGCCGTCAGAGGTTATATTTAATTTCCACGTGTCCTTTATACCAGCAAACAGTTTCCCACAGGGCAGCAGCATGTGTTGGTGTGGACATAAGGAACTCTTTAGTTTTCCCAATGAGCTTCCAGTTGGCTCTAACAACAGAAAAGCTTTATTTTCTGCTTTCTTTGTCTACCCTTCTGCCCCATATTTTCTGCAAGACATAGAACAGAATTAGCGGATTTATGGTTTTATTTCACTACACTAAAAAAAGAAATTATTTATAATTCTTTAGAAAGGTACAATTTAAGTGTCCAGTGGTCACTAGCAATCCCTTGATAATGCCTGTCCCCATTAGAACCATTTCTGATAGTTACTTGCCAGAGAAGGAACTACACTGTGTGACTTTATCTCTCATACAAAACAATGGAAAAAGGCTTTCACAAAAAAGGCTCTGGACAGCATACTAGGGATAAAAATCTTGTGAAAAATCCCAATAAAAACTAAATTACCCCTTCCTAAAAAAAAAATAAATAAAGCCTTAAAAATGACAGTACTGTAAGGAATATTCAAGCAACTATTTTGTTTTGTATTGGAAGAGGGAGTACTTTGCACAAACATCCAGATTCTGGCCAAAACTTTAAAATAACCTAACAGCTTTGGCATGCTGTGGTTAAGATGTTACCGTAAGTCTACTTGGAAGACTAAAATGTTTCTTTTTTAACTAAAGAGGAAAAAAAGATTTCAACATTATCTGAATTTAACATTATTCTGTGACTTTTTATTTGAAGTTTTTGAAACATGTATCTATCTCTTTTCTTCACTCAGTGCTTTTCTGCAGATCCTGGCTTTGATTTATTGAAAACTACCAACATCCTGACAGACTATCTTCTCTCTTCATCAAACCTTATGGCATGAAAAAAAAGCAAAACAAACCTATTAAGAAAATATCATACGGACCACAGAAGACTCACTTCCCTCCAGGAAAGAGATACTCAGAGGGGGAAAAAAAACAGAAGAAAAGCAAATCTTTCTTAAGTTGAAAATGGGAAAAAATCCCAGGAGAAGGTCAGCACTTCTCAGTTTTATGACTGGCTATGAACTTGAAGCACTGTCTAGGCTGAAGATCACAGGTTCCATCTGTGCTGCTTCGCTGGGAACAGAGGGACAAAGGCTGGGATTGCTGCTCAGCCAGCTTCAAACAAGGGGTCCTTCTACCTCATTCAAAATAACCCAACACCACGCTCTCATTATATAACCAAACATACAACATGACTGGCTGGAACATCCATCTGAAATACCTGACTTCTTTTTTCCTTTGATTTCCACACCAAGTTTGCACCCTGACTACTTGAGGCCAGCATTTAACCCATGGGGACTGAAGTGTGCAGCTGTCATATGCCTGGTTTTGCACTTGAACGGAGGGAGAGGCATGATGCTCTGTGTTCTCTCCCCTTTCTCAGTGAAAAAGGGGCTGAGGACAGTCTGCCAGCACATGAGCCTTGCTGCTCCACACCAGTGAGAAAAACCACAAAGGTAGGCTGGATGTGCCAAGGTGTTTTCATGCTGAACACAGACCTGAACCCTAACACAACAAGCCCAGTCCTTAAAAGATGCCACCAGTTGTCTGTAGCTTCTTCATTTTCACCTGTTTGAGGCACTCAGACCACTTCAGATTTGCACGGACTCCTCCCTGCAGCAGCACTGTCAAATAGTCTATCACACCAATAATCATCACTAAACAGTTTGTCTCTTGATGCTTCTGTATCAACACTGGTTGTTTTATTCAGCGTGGGAATAAAAAAACTGAACACTGGCCACAGACAATGCAATTCAACCCAGAAAGAGAAAATACCAAGTGCTAAACAAATGAGACGAAGGATGGATTAAGGGCATTTGATAATATTGGTTCTTTTGGTTATGAAAATACCCTTTGTATTGTATATTAGCTATATAATGCACATGCCACACTGCATGCTTTGAAAGAAAAGGATCTGGAGTTTATACCAGTGTCCACTTGGCAACTGAAAAATAAATGAAAATTATCTTTTTGATCACTGAATTTTTAAACAGGTGTGATTTAGCACAAGCCCATTTTCTCCAAGAATCCAGAGAGCATGCAGGTCTTGCTGATTTGAACAAAGTAATTTTATTACAGGGTAGAGATGCCATGGCAAATTCCATTACTGCTGTAGTTATCTCATTTGCTTTGCAGATTATGGTTGGATTAGCACTGGAAATGAGAACAAATGCAGTGATGTTGTCACTTATGTACTCAAATATATAGGGGAGAACAATTCAGCCCATGGATATTCCCATTCAACTTTGAAAACCAATGGACACAGGACAATCACCAAAACAAAGTGGAGAAGACTGGGAGGGCAAATAAACACTCATGGAAAAGGCCCTGGTTCAGTTTTGTGTGCCCTGAAAAAGGCACTCAGACATGACTAATAGGAGTAAAAATTTGGATGGTAACATAAAAGACCAACGAAATTCCACATAAGGCTGTCAAAACCAAAAACATCCCTTAGGATTGTGTGCTATAGTTTGGAGGCATTAACATTGTGGAGGAGCACTGGGATATCATAAGGGAGCACCATGTGATTTTGAGGAGTGGAGTAATAGAAATGGGATGAAATCCAACATTACTAAATGCATAAGCATGCACTTGGGGAACAGTAACAGTCATAAGCTAAAGCAACAGAAATAGGATGGAATTTGATATTACTAATTGAATCATCACACAATTCAAAGCAAGATTCGCAGTTGACAAGTGAGAAAAAGGCAACCTGGAAGACATATAAATTTATATCAGATGTCTTAGGGTGCCTGCAGGATGCACCACACAAAAGAGAAGGATGCTGCATCCTACACTGTCAGGCAAGACAGGAAATATTGTTTGTGTTATCTATCACTACAACCTCATCTGAAATAAGAATGCAGAGTACCAGTGACCTACATCTTGAAAAGTGAAGTGAAAATACAAACAATTGCAGAGAAAAGTCACAAGGGTTAAGAGAATGCATTCTGAGAATGGAAAGCAGAAGTGAGCTGGATTGTCTTTGCAAGGTTCAGGCTGTCAGGATATAACCTCCTGGAAACAGAGAACACTGGAAAGACAGATACAAGGCAGGAAAACTCTAATTTGCCCTTCAGTGAAATAAAAACATCCCATAAAGTAATGAGGACCGAAAATTAAAGAGGTTGTTAGGAATGGGAAAGCAGCAAGGTTTTGGAAGAGTTGGTATGGGGAAAAGACCTCACTAAAGCCAGCTGGGATTGGCAATGTGGTTGATGCCTGGCCACTGGGCACTCAAAGACCCAGGAGATCCCTGTAACCCCTTGTCCTGCAGAACTGGTGGCTGAAGGGCACACACTGCCAACATCAGGACCTAGTGCTTACAAGAGTTCATGCATCTGTAGCTCTGCAACACAGACCCCTGAAGAGTCAGATCTCTTTAAACATCCCATAACATACAGCAAGATTCTCATTCGAGCTAAACAAAATCTTATTTGACCTACACCTTCTTGAGGACACATGCTGTATATCAAGGTCAAATTCAATTACATTTAGAATTACGAACAGAAAAGTAAATTTCTTGTAAAGAAAAAAAACAACTGAAAAATCCATCAATTTTCAGAGCACTTTTCAGACACTGTGCTCTCACACTTCTGATACAGAAGCAAAATTGAATCATCTTGACTCCTATTAAATCCTATTAGCAACAAGAGGGGCAGTTTTCTTCTGCTTCCAAAACTGCATTTCAGCAGAAAACCAGTAAGTTCACATCTGCATGCTGGTGTCTGCACACATTTGGTACAAACCACCTCTCAGGACTCATAATCCCCAGATCAATCTGATTTATGGCCGTGGTGTACAACCACAAAAGGGCAGGACAGCTCCTGGTTTGATTCATGCCAGCAGGAGCTGTCACATTGCAAACAACCTCTTCAACTCCTGCAAATGCCAAGGTCAAGTAACCCCGCTCATAATGAAGTCTGGATGAGCTCCACTGTCTCCTCTTAGAATTTTTCAAAGGTAAATATTCCCATATGTAACACTGAGTTCCAGCAGGTAAATGTTTTTCTCCGTAGATCGAAGTGGTTCCCAGAAAAACAGCCTCAAAACAGAATCTATCACAAATACTGAACATTCTCAAGTAACACCATTACTGAGAACAACCCCATGTCTAAAGTGAAATTACACATTTTCATACATAGATGCTTGCAATTCAATGCTTAAGTATAAAAGCATTAATTGGTGTTTTCTAGAGGTACACAATCTTTTGTGTCCACCTTCTTAAAATGAGACCATTTTTATGTTGGTTTATCAACATAAGTTGAAAATTTTTGGCCCCTGTTTCCGGAATCCTGCATTACTGACAATTCCTACAGGTCCTCTGTGACAATGAAATTGAGAAGGGTGTCACATGGAAAAATGGGGATGCCCTGAGTGAGTAACAACAGCTGATTTCTTCTCAAAAGCTTCTCAAGGCGAGCTTTAATTGGTTACCCCACTAAAACTCTCCCTGTTTTTCTAGCAGCAAGGAAACCTGAGCCAGGTTTTCAGCTGTCCTAAGGTTTGTGCACACCACCTTCCACAAGGGATACAAACCTGCTGGTGGCCAAGCCTTGATATAGCCAGTGCAATGGACAACAGCATACTGGGCTTCACCTTCTTTCACTGGGCCCAGGCCATTCCTGAATGAACAAGAAACACAAAAACATCACATTGATCAGAATAGCTTCATGCTTTCAAACTATGACTACTAATGATTTGCCAGTATCTGTAAGTTATGCTGGAAACACCCAGGAATCAACCTAGGATTCTGTACACTACAGAATGTTCTGCTATGCTGTTATTCAAGCTGTACCTGTTTTCTGTAATATTTCTCTGAGAAAAATATTGAAGATTGATTCAGAGACGGAGCTGGTGTAAGACAAAGAATCTCAGTGACACATGCAAAGAGATTTTGTTTGCAAAGGATCCAGTGTGTGTAGGAGCAGGAAACACACCTGGAGTGGACATTAACCCAGTGGTAAATGACAAAGCTTAGGGCAGCTACAGCTGCTTTGTGGTAAATTAAGTAATAGTACCTGTATCTTTTTCTCATGGTGGTTATTCTGTTCAGAGGTAAATGATCCAGAGGAGCATTTCCACACCTAAAAGTAAATTAATATTTTAAAAGACTCCAAAATTAATATAAATACACATGATGAAAATGCATTTTGAGATCTTTACTACCATATATAAGAAGACAATAATGGATGCTTATTCCTAGCAAAAAGTTGCATATTCATGTTTACTTAGAAAGTGCTGCTTCCACAGGCTAAGTTTTTTAGATGCGCTATAAAAATCTTCTTTATTTTCGAAAAATAAAAGAGACTAGAAAAAGATTTCCTTTCACATTCCCCCAGTATAAAAACTATTTGAAATTGATAACCCAAGGGTGGCTAAAGAACAGACACACTTCAAAATGTAATAAAACAGGGGTGAAAACTAGAGAAAAATATGTCAGGCCCCCAAATATTCACACAAACCAATCTCAGTGTTCCTATAGATTCCCTGGACAGAAAAATTCCACTGCCATACACCAGCTACAATGTCTGTAGACATTAAGATAATGTTTGCAAGATCAAACTATTTACACTGTCAACTAACTTTGTTTAACACCTGTTCATGTGTATTTTGCGATATTTTTAAGTATGCCTAACTGTGTAATTTCAACAGTCCATCTGAAGCTGAGTAAATAGTTTGAAGGGTAAAAGCAGTTCATTTTTAATGGAAAAATAATAACAACAATGAAAGAAGCAACCACAAGGAAAATTCACATTATCTGAGGCCCATTTTTCCCAGAAGGTTTTCTTTTTATTCCTTTAATTTTTTTTTCTTATCAGTCATTGCCAAAGAGAAGAAGCGAACAACTAAAATAAGATTAAGAAATACAAAAACAGTGGGGTTACTGGCATGTGTAAAATCACTCTCATGGATTGGAATTTACAGAATAAGAGTGCTAGGAAATAACTGCAATCTGAACTGTTTTGAAAGCTGGGGAACAACTGCAAACAGGACACTAGGCCTGGTTTTCTTTGCACAAACAAGTCCTTCTAACAGGATGTGCACCTTGAGAGGAAGAAAAAGCAGTGCTGTCAGTGCTGCTCTGCTGGGCTCTATTTCTTCCCTCCTAGTTAAGGGGAGAAAAGGTTTTACAGCTCTGAAGTCTGATCATACAGGTATGGAATCTATAAACACCTTACAAAGGCACCCAAGAGCCTTACATTCAGCACCCTCACAGGACTGCAAAAAATCCACCACATCACCAAAGTACAGATATCTGTACTTTAATATATCAAATACTGTGTTTTGTGTGTTTCACTCTGCAATGAATTTTGCAGTGCTGTTATCAGCATTTATACTGGATATAGCCTACAGATGCAATTATGTACTTTCCCCTCCTAACCACAGACAAAAATTTATTGCAATAGCAACAGGCATTTTAGCCTGTTAGCACTGAAATGAGAAGTGCTCACAAGCCCCCTAAAAAAAGCACTGGGCAGACAAATCTCTTTAAAGAAGCACAACCAGTGCAGGAGAAGTTGGAAAATTGCAAATCAAAAACCCTCTAACAATTACTCATTTATCTAGCATCAGCCAGCTGACATCTGGTTAATTCAAAGCAGGCTTAGGTTAATTCCTTCATAGCTGGCAGGTTTGCAACTAAATTCTTGTTTATCTTCAAGATTCTTTTAATATTCTTGGTTTGCTGAAAAAATACACAGAGCTGAGTGTTCATTACACTTGTGGAAGCTTTGTTCTCAAAGTATGGATTTGAGTCACTTTACTAGAAAAGACAACAGCTAAAATTCCAGGGGTGAAGCTGTCATGAAGCTCTCTGGAAAAAGGAACCCATACCCCACGCTGATAATAACAACGACAACAGAAATCAGGTGCTCTTTTGTCATTAACTGTCCAAGGAAGACTAGTTTCAGTTTCACTCCAGTTCCTGAAGCAAGGATTCTAGAAATACTTCATGGGAGTGTGCCATTACAGCTTCACTTTGTAATCAAGGCCAAATTAGTGCAACAAAATGTATGAAGTGGAAGCTGAGACAGGTCTGGAACCGTTATGGGAACACAGGGTAAATACATACCTCATCCTGCAAATGAAAGAACGCCTGGATCCCATGCACATTCTCATTGAGGACTGCTGACCTTCTTTCTTTACTGTCCCCGTCTTCAAGTCCAGGATTCGTCCTACAAATGCCAAGGAGAGCAACTGGTGTTCAGTACATAAATTTAATACTATTTACTAGAAACCAAGATAACAAGAAATTAATGAGCTGAATGCCATTAGCCCAGTTAGGGGAAAAAATACCAATGAAAAAAATCTTGATCCTGGTCTCACAGGGGAGGATCAGTTATGTGCTGGTTTAACTAACAATTTCAGCAGAACTGACTCTGAGTCACAAGAGTGATGGCTCTTTTCTTGGCTGGGCCAAGACCAACTTCCAGGCAGAGTCAAATGCCTGGAGGCAAACAAGGCAATGACAGCAGGCATAGCTTTTGACTTGATCTGCTTGCTCCACTCTTTACTAGAACTGTGGATAAAGCAACATTTATCAGTCCCTTGACAGCTGCTCCTCTTTCCCTGTGCTTACACCTATCCAGAATACTCTCACCTCAGTCAGAGCTGTCAGGATGGTGAGATGAACAAAAGACCAAACTTTTCTCCTTGATGATGAGATTCAGGATTTGTCACAACAGCCCTTGTGCTGGGGCCCTTTTAAAGTTGCTAAAAAATTGTCACGTCAAGAGCATTTCTAAAGTTTATTTTCAGACAGATCAGTGAGATGATCTGATTCACCACACACAGCAAATCAAGCCTGTGCAAGGTCCAGGGCCTGACCCTGCTCCCTACAACCCTCAGAATCACACACCACAGGCACAGCTTGGAACAGGGATGACAGCCACCAAGTCAGCTCAAGAGAGGACAGGACAGAAGGATGCATGCAAAGGTAGGAAGGGGGTAACAGATTAATTTTTTCATTTAAAACAGAAGACTGATTACTGCAGACAGGTTCAGATCAGGACACTGGGTATCACCCAGAATCTTTCTGCTCATCACCAAAGAACTAACAGAAAAGATTTTCACATCTACAGCTCAAATGCTAAGAGATGACTACAAAACCTAGCACAGACTAGAAATGAATCACTGGACCACATCCACAATGCTCAAGGGCTGGATGTAGCCACAAAAGTGACAGTGGGCCAGAGAAATGCAGTGGAACAGCTGCCAGGCAATTAAATGACAGCCACTAGTGCTGACAACACATGGCCATGAGCAGACCCACATATTTAAGGTGGGTATTTTCAGTAACTGAAATTATACAAACCTAAGTCTTCAGTGTGGTATAAATAGACAGGTTTACAGCAATATAAGACACCTATTCTGTCTGTAATGAATTGAATTGAAGGAAACATGCAGAATACATTCCCAGTCTCCCTCACCAGACTGACCTAAAAGCCTCTGTCCAAAAATCAAGTTCTGAAATAAACCTACTGCCAAACACTAAGTTCAGAATTACTCTACCTCTAAATATTTACTTCCACCCATGAATGGAAACGAAATCTTTACATAATAGTTTTAAGATAAGGAACGAGGCAGCAGCATTTTAGTTTTAAGGCATACTCCAGATAACTCCATCTGGAGGAAAGCCACCCCAGGCAACAGAAGGTCAGACCTCATTTGGTGTTATCTCCAAGGTATATTTCAGATGGTTAAGAGGTCAGCAAGCCTGGGGAAGAACTCCTAAAGGTGCTTCAATTTAAAGCACTGGGCTATATGTTAATCCTGGTCTACGATTCAGGTATGAGCTGGGAAGAAATCACACCCCATTTCCCAGCTCAGCTGTGCTGACCCCATGATGCAGGATGGATCTGAAGTTCTAACACTCTTCCCTTCCCTACATTGAACAGTCTGTCTCATTTTCTATAGCCAAAGTCACAGTCCATTTCCCCATCCCCCCAAACTAATCAGACAATTTAGAGAAATAAAATACCATCAGGCAGGAGGCAAGCTCATTCAAAAATGAAGGCATTATACAATAAAGCACATAAAGACAGAATATATGTGCAGGATCCAATGGCTGTCTGCATCAACAGGCCAGTCAAATCAAACCACTAAAAGTAATCTTCTCCTAGAGCAAAGGAGAATGGGTGTCATACACACAAAAAAGAAAATTGTTTTCTGTGCACTTTCTTTTTTCATTCCAATACAAATTCTTGAAGAGACGCCAATATTAATCAAAAAGCACTGACAGTGAATGTACCTCAAATGGCTAATAGAAATTTCTCTGTGTTTATCATCCAAGAGCATCTATAACTAAAAATAAAGGATATTTCACAATTATGTGGCCACTAGGTCTAAAATTGCTGACACATGTTCCTCTGGCATGTCTGGAACCCCCCAATAACAAAAGTCAGGATTTTTAAATTTAGCTTTTTGTTTGGCAATGTCTTTAAAATATGTACCAGATAACAAATAGAGTTCTAAATTTTGCCCTGACTTACAAAATCACTGCAGGGGGTATGTGAGTCAGAGAAATGTTTGCTGTACTGATACTTTGACAAAGCTCTCTCAGCAGCTTGTTTCAATAGTCCAGCATTCATACATCAACCTTGTAGAGCTCTAACAATACATTACAGATTTTGAAATAGAACAAGGAGTTGTGTCTCATCTGTTACTAGAATCTTATGATGAAATTAAATTAAAAAGAGGAAGAATTATAGATTAATCATAGTTAAATACTGATATATAGAATTATAATTAATTATAGATTAATAGACTAAATCAAGCTAACTGGCATAAACTGCACGTTAGTCACACTGGCAGCTCAGTTCAAGTGGCATGTCCTGATGATAGCTCTGTCACAGAATCATAAAGTATTCCTATCTGTTCCAGCATCCTCAGTGATAAATGCTCATTTAGGTTTCTCCATGGGACAAGCACAAAGCACATCTGATGTTAAACTTGGAAATTATATTCTTATTAATAAGAAATATTCCAGGATGCTCTGACAACTTCTGTTAACTGAACAGTGTATGTGTGCAATTTTTTTTAAATTCTCCTTCTAGTTTCTTCAGAAGAGCCATTTAACAGCCCAGTGCCACCACCAGCTGGATCTCTTACGAGCTTCCCCATAAACTGTTAATTGCATGTACTCATTTCTGTGTTCAACTTTTCCCCTCTCCAGCTCCAGATACAACCCTGGGATGCAGCAAGCACAGAAGCACTGCTGTGACTGACACTGCTGTCTTATTGCCCCTTACAGCAGCTGCACAACTCAGAGGAAATCAGGGTTTGCTCTGCTGAGAAGGAGAAAGCAAACCAAAGAGCACAATGCTGATTAAAATGGGCACATAAATCTCTCTGGCTGGTCTGGGTGTAATTGATAATTTGTTGAAATCTCCCCACTACAGTCCCTATCCAGAAGGCAGTATTGCTTCAACCTGTAATAGACCAGCTGTTCTCTGAGCAGGAAAGCACTGTGTGATCCAGGAGCCTGATGTCAGCTGCTGTGACAGGAAAGGGCTGGCACACAGGCACACGGAGGTGAGGACAACAGGCAAGTTCATTATTTGGGTAGAATTAAGAGAAGCCACATAAAGCTTTCACCAGTAAAGAGATAACAGATTCAAGTACTGGGGACACATGCCAGAAACATTTCCTGCAGGGTATTTTCAAAGATGCTCTAAAAACATTCTCATGATGATCGAGGAGGCAAATGTTCATGCTGGTCCTGATGTGCCCCTTGCGTGTGCAAACAGTGACTGGATTATGAACAAACCTTCCCCTTCTGGATCTCCAGTTGCTACTGAGAATGTTCAAACTTGTATTCTGTGCTTGCAATGTTCTGAGATGAACCTAAGCCAAGCACTGGCCTGGGCCTACTGGAGTTCATGGGGTTTCAAATCTGGGAATTTGGCTCAAATCCACTTTCATACAATAGCACCAGCCTGTTAGAAAATTTTCCTCCATGTTTACACACTGCATGCTAAGGTTTATGGCCTGGTAATCAAACACAGTCTGTTCTTTTTACTTTGTTCAGGTTTTTGGGGTTTCTTGGTGGTTTCTTTTTTTTTTTTCTTTATTCAAAATTCCATATACTTCAACATCTAATTCTACCACAAATGCTTTCTCTGCTGGATTCCCAGTTCCTAAGAATGCTGCAGTCTGTAACTAGAAAGAAAGGTTGTTACATAAGGGCATTCTTCTGCAAAAATTTCAGTGCAAGTTGAAATGGTTTGGTCTAAAGTAACCATACAGTGCCCACATCCAGTCTGCAGCATGGAAAAACCCAGCTCATAGATCTCAGAAGAAGTTTAGTTTGGCCTCATGTGCACAAAATTATTATTGGCAAAGTCCATAATACAGTTTTCCATTTCCCTCTAACTCATCAGCACATGGACTCCTGCTTTGCACAGAATCATGGACCTGGTAGGGAAACAGTCTGAATTAATATATGGACTCTCACCTTGACTTCTATACCTTCAGCAACCCAGTAAGTTTCACCTTTCAGATGATAATGTCTTGTCTTACAAAGTTAGATATTTCATAATTACTCTCAGCCACTGATTGTCCACGTACTTCCTTCCAGGCAAAATAAAATAAAGGATAAACTAAGTTTGGTTTGGACAAGACAACAAAAGATGACTTTGTGCTCATCAAAAATACTCCACAGGCTGCTCAAGGAAGACAAACAGAACAGAGGAATACTGCACCCAAAAATCCTTATGAAAACTAAAACCATCTTTATCTTACTATAAAACCGGAAAAAGCAAGACCATGATGGAGGAAAACAAGAGGAAATAATTAAAAATAAAAACAAAGTGATGGTCAAGGTACTGCTGCTGCTGAACACAGCTCCAAATGTAAGCTCACCCTCAAACTGAAGGGTCAGAGAACAAAGGATTTCTGTGGTGATGCTCTGTATTAGTACATTAAGTCTTTAGAAATTAGCAGAAAAGATCAGTTTAAAAATCTTTGAGTGTTCTACAGTTTGTGGAGAATCAAGATCCAGGTCAATGCTTGGGACAAACAGTCAAGTTAAGTAAACAAAGTGTAGCTCTTCTTGAAACTGCCATGTATCAGTTTACACATAGGCACCGATTACAGCTGAGCATTCAGCTTTACACCAACTGAGGTGCTCAGCTGACAGAGCTACTCTTCAAAACAACAGATGTACTACAAATGC